CAGGTCCTAGGAGGTCGATTAGAAGTTCCCAAGACGAAGGTAGTCGAGAAGGTCCCAAAAGTCTTAGATCCTGAGGGACTTCCAGACAGTTTTATACTTGGCACCAGCAGATTACAGGACATCATCAGATATCTCTGTTCAGTGCAGCAGGAACATTTAAGACTCTGAACAAACTGACTGTCATTCAACAACCAGAGGAATCAGTGCCACCCCCAACTGTATGTGCCAATGGCTCTGCACATGTAACTGCCACACTATGTTAAAAATGAAACATCTGTACACTTGTACCACTTCACATAACATACTTCCCAAAAACCTTTTACAGGAAAGACATTTTTTTCCTTTTATTTGGGTCAATCAGGAGCTAAAGTACTTTTTCAGAGTCCTCAGGTGTCCACCCAGACCGCTCTCCACATCTCTCAGTGTATATACTTCAGAAACACCACCACCACTTGTCCTCCCCCCCAATTACCTTTACACATGCACTCAGAGGTCACCTTCAGAATAATTACATCAATACAATACCAGATGAAAAGAGATCCCACATGATCATTAACGTGGCGAATCTTAGACATTACCAAATGCATAAAAAACAAAAAAGAAAACATGAAGGGAAAAATTACATAATCATTACGCCAGCTTTAGTTTTTGTAAATGTGGAAGTAGAAAGGCAGTTCATATTTTAAAAACATGTCACTGTCTTACAGCTCTACCCTCTAATATTTTTGTCATTTTATTTAAACAATCTTTCTGCAGTTAACTAAAACTGTTCAGTTCCTAAGCTGGCAGCTGTTAAGGAAAAAAAACTAATTCAGGGCAAACAAATGCATACAAAAAGCTGACAGTCCAATTCCCAAATCAGGCAATATTGGATTTTTGTTTTATTATCACAACTATGTTCATTTCAGCACTCCTGAAGCTTTAGAAAAATCTCTTCTGGTCGACTGCGTACGTCTTTCCTGCTGGAAGCTTTCGGAAAAATAAACTGTTGCCTCTGCTCATGTTGCCCTGTAAGGAAAAGAGGCAGGAAGTGTTAGTAATAGTCAGCTTACACATGAAAGACAGAACTAGAAAAGAACATTTCTGAGTGATGCTGCTGGGTCAGCTGTCATAAAACAATCGTTTTCAGTCACGTGACCGACTCACTGCCCTGCATCGTGACTGCAAATCAGTCGGTGGTACTTCAGAACAAAGCTGCTATTCTTCTCACCTTTCTTGGAAAGTAGTTGTAGAAGTTAAATGTGCATTAGAAACAGTTGACTAATGACAAAAGAAAATTTAGCCACAAACAAATCTGAAAGCCTATATTCTTGAAATTAGTTGAAGAGTGAAATGATGTGTTTTAAATGTCTAAATTCAAGAATCTCAAATAGAAAAAGAACATTTGCAAAATATCTGTTGTGTGTGTG